AGCACGCAGTGTCAACATTGCCTGCTTCCAAAGCATCCTCAAACTGCACCGGCATCTCCAGGTTCCTTTCAAGTTCATCCACATAGGCATTCAGGCGCTCAGGCTTCCAGACCAAAGCGAGTTAACTGCCGCGCATGACAACTCCATCCTGAGGCAACGAGCACGATCACGCTCACCAGTGAGGGGAAACACAGATGGTGCAAGCACAAGCTACACCAAATAGGGACCCGGTCAGCCAGATAGCTTAGGCTGCACTAAATGCTAGAAGGACCAGGCAGTGAACCTCTTACCCCGAGACAGGGTATATAACATTGAATAATGAGTTGCCAACCTAGGAAATTCTCAACTTTTTGCTTTTTCAGATCGAACTTTTGGGGATATCTTTTCTAAAAGGTAACATACCCACCATGAAGTTCTGGAGTCAAATGTCTCATCCCTCGGGGTAGATCTGCATTCCTATAACGTTATATCTATAACTACTTACGGTATATCTTGTTATGAAACGTTATTTACTTATATTTTTTCAGGATTTACGGTATACGCCTATCCCTATATATACATACATGTATATACATATGTATACATATGTGTGTATATATATATACTGGCATAACTAAATATATATATATACACACACACACACCTATAAATTTGCGAGCATTAAGGGTTTTCGAGGTCCGCCAAAACAAGTCAAAGTTTGCGAACCCCTGCGTTTTTGCGTCTCAGACATGGGTTCTTTGTCTCTACTCGCCTCTTCATCTGAGGATTCCGTGGCGACCTCGGACACCTCCACCGGTTCCTCTTGGCAGGCCCTTGCTCCGGCCCCTGACCCTGAGCATTATGGTCCTCAAAGTCCTGAACAATACCTGCAAGCTCCTCCAAGCACGCTTCCCCTGCCTGCAGTGCTTTCCCCCACACCTGCAGCAGCCTCAGCTGCCACATCTTGCATGCTGGGCAGCTCCCATGTCAAACAGGGTTCTTTGCCCCTAGGGGCATGTGGCTGCATTGTGCAGCCTTACCAATTGCTTAAAACAAACCCGCACCTTTTGCGGGCCCTTGAGGAAAGTAATTTTAAAAGTCATTCCATAACACGAGATGCCTCAATAATTATTCAATTATGGCCAATGTCGTGTTTGCGTGAATAGCGGGTGAAAATTTTTTTCGGTTTGGGAAATTTGTGAATATTCGGGAATTTTATTTTTTGCCTAATCAGGCACTTTGAATCATTGAGCCTCCCTCGCTCATGCAAGCCAGCAATGCAACTTCAAGCAGACTGTGCTTCCCGCAGGAGCTCTCTCTATTCACACACAGCCCGTCGGCAGGCTGTCCGCTGGGCAAGGGAGGGGCTCACACACAAGCGCATCTCGGAGCTGCTGGGGGGCAAGCCCTGCTCTGAGACTGTTGCACGCGGGCTCCAACTGAGTGCTGCTCCTGTGTAATGGTCAGCGTTAGAGATGCCCACGCAGACTTCGGAGACGTCTCGCACCTTTGCACTCATCAGGGCCAGCACTGAGAGCAGAGGATTCAGAAATGATTAAAGTGCCTGATTAGGCAAAAAAAATTCTGAAATTTCACAAATTTCCCAAACCGGAAAAAATTTTCACCCGCGATTCACGCGAAAACGACATTGGCTCCCCGTCTGGCCATAATCGTAAAACCCCCAGTGTCGCTACAGTATATATATGTATATACCGGTATATATATAAGAATACAACAAAAACTTCTGCAACAAAAACATTAAGGCATCCAGAATTCTTGGTTGGCATGCAGGTCTGTTGGACACAGCTGTGGGAGATGCACCTTTCATCATGCCCACTACACCAAAGGGATCGTCATGACCCTGGGTGAGACGTGTGACCCACGCCATGACAAAGAGCTTGTGTATGGTTTCTTGGATATCAGGAGGGAGCATCCCCAAGAGCTCATTATTAGCTATGCCATCCGACCTTGAAGTTCAGTTGTTGCTCAGAGTCTTTATGCATACGCGGAAGGCACTTCTGTCAAGGATATTGGAGTGGAGCCAGTCTCTTTCTTGTTTCCCTTTTAATTCATCTTTGGTTATTTGGGACTGGAGGGTGAAGGGGTCCGGAATACGTGTTGATGCTCCTGCTTGCTCCCAAGGATAACTATAGCTCTATATGCACTGCAAGGACATAGCTCCGCATGTTCTAAATGGTGTCGTTTAAAATGATATATATAATAAATTATATATAATAAAAATATATTTAATATCTGATATATTTCTTCTTGCAGTGCGTATAGAGCAATGGTTATCCTTGTATATCCTTGTATATCAATAATGTAAAATAGGATTGGAGAAAGCGCAAGGAATGAGGGGCTTTGGTCCAGGGTTATGACGATCCCTTTGGTAGTGGGCATGATGGAACTTGCATCTCCCACAGCTGTGTCCAACAGACCTGCATGCCTACCAAGAATTCTGGATGCCTTGATGTTGTTGTTGCAGAAGTTTTTTGTTGCGTTTGATATGGGCAGCTGTTGCTGCTGGTGTTGGGGAACCTTGCAGAGTGAGCACTGTGCAGACGTGAGTGGCGGCCAGGAGGAAACGGGAGAGGGAGGATGGTCTGCTTTTGTTGCTTTTGCTTTTGCTTGATTGCATTGCAGGGCATGGTGTTGAGAGTAGGAATATGTGTAAATGAACATATGGATTGGAAAATGTGCGAGGTCTGGGGTGAGTGGGATCAGGCATTGACAGAGCAGGCGCTTGCTGATGCGTCGGCACATTCTTGGGGCTGCAATTCAGTTCTGCCTCCTCGGTTAACTGTTGCCGTCAAGCCTCGCAAGGCGCAGCCCCTGTGCAGTAACATGTACAACGTCAATGGTGTGGGGCTCTCCCATTTCTTGGTGCATATGTGATGAGGAGTGTGCAGCTGGTCCATTAGGCTGCGGTCACACACAATTTTTTTCGGTATTTTTTTCGGACATTTTTCCGCCAGAAATTGGAAAAAAATTGCGGTCACACACAATTTTTTTCCGTCCACCGAAAAAAATTTTCGCCCTCGACGGAAAAAATTTGCAAGCGGTCAAACACAAAATTTTTCCATATTTTTTTTCGTCAGTACTTAGCCACGGTGGAGCATCAGGGAGGTGAGAATTTGTACCACATTCATGCAAGCGCACTCCCTTCATGAGTGCCCCTTCAAGAAGGGGCACTCCTGCATGGGGCATGCATGGGAACTACTCCTCCTCTCCTGCCCTTCCGTCCTTTACATTCTCTTCCCTCCCCTTGCCCTTGAAGGAAAGTCCTCCTTTTGGATTCTGGGAGAAGCAAGTGTGCAGGGACTGGGCCAACATTGGAAGGACTCAACCTGAGTATGAGGCTACCCAATTCAGGCAAGCTTTCCGCATGAGCAAGCCAGCCTTCAAGACCCTGTGTGAGACATATTGTGCCTCACTTGCAAAGCAAGACACACGTTTGCGGAGTGCAATCCCTGTTGAGAAGAGGCTGGCAGTTTTTTTGCACTGGGCTGGCTCAGGTTCTCCATACTACCAACTTGCGCAGACCTATGATATTAGTAAGCCTTCCGCGACCAATATAATTCATGAAGTTGTGTTTGTGCTGTGCAAAGAATTTGTGCCAAGCATGATTGTCTTTCCAGAAGGACAGGAACTCATGCGCGTCATGCGAGATTTCAGAGGCTTGTGCAATTTGCCTTTTTGTGCTGGTGCAATAGACGGAACATTCATGAGGATTGAGAAGCCGTATGAGTGGGGTGATGTCTACTATTGCTACAAAAAGCACATGGCTATTATTCTTTTTGTATGTGTTGATGCTCATGGCAAGTTCACTTGTTAGCGCTGGAGGGGCAGGTCAAGTTGGTGATGCACACATATGGAATTTTAGTGCTCTGCTAGAAAGATTGAGGATGGTTCTTGGCTTTCCTTGCCGCCAAATGCTCGCATGGAGGAAATGACCAAATATGGTACCTCACTTTCACCATCGTAGGCTGGCTCCCCATCCAAACCCTCGTGAGCTCCCGGCTTGGGTGCTGCTGCGCGCAGTGGCCTCTTGGCTGCATGTGTGACTTCGCTCACCTGTTGCTGATCCTGCTCAAGCTGCAACTGATCAGCTGCATGGGCTGCAAGCGCATGCAAGGAGCCGCCAGACCGGCTGCCTACCACCACTGCCTCTGACATCTGCAGGTCCCTGCTGGGCTTGTGCTGGTCCTCATCTGGACTGAGCACCTGTGCTTTCTTGCTGGGCTGACCTCTTGCCCCCCTCCCCCTGCCATTGGACCCTTGCTTGCCCTTGGGAGGCATGGCGCCACCCTCAAAGACGAAATATGTGAATGTTGAAAAAAACTGCAAATTTTTGTGTTTTTGGACCTTGCATTGAAGGGGCACTCCCAAGAGGCACTCCCAAACRGTAACTGAAAACTGACCCCAACCGAAAAAAAATTTCCCAAAGACGGTCTCTAGTGACTTCTGGCTGGAACCGAAAATTTTTTTGGGTAGGCCAAAAAAAATTGCCCGAGGAAAAAAATTTTGTGTGTGACCGCAATTTTTTTTGCCCAAAGTGAAAATTTTTTTCAACACTGACGGAAAAAAAGCCGAAAAAAATTGTGTGTGACCGCCCCCTTATACATACATGCTAGAACACTGCTCTACATTTCTTTTTTCTTTGCTATTACATGAGCGGCCCCCAGCAGGGACCTGACAGCAGAAGAAGAGCCGCAAGAAAGAGCGAGAACAAGAAACGCTGAAACACAACTCAAGGTTACAAGGTTACAAGGCCTCCAGTCAAAACGACTGACTGCTAGCCTAGAAACACGCCTCAAGCAAAGGACCAGCCACACTGAGAACCCACGGAAAAAAAGGACAAGGCCAAGCTGTCAAAGGCACGCGGGAGAGCAGTTGCAGGAAGGAAACTTAACTCAAGCAGGAAACAACACCCCAAGGTCCACCCAAAGCAAGAGGGGAGATTTAGGTAGGCAAAAATTTAATAATATATAATGCTATTTTCAAATTCTGAGCAACGGAGAGGGGGTATAGTTCAGTGGCAGAACATCTCGTTCGCAACACTCGTTTCACGAGAAGGTCCGGAGTTCGATCCTCCGTGCCTCCAGCCCGTTGATTACGGTGTTAACCCATACATTTTTGTATTACACACGTGATGATAAGGTGGACATAGATAAGCTTGATATAGCTTGATATAATGTTTTATGCAAATACATTTACGCCTACTCACATCAGGCGCACACTATAACCAACGCACATCACTCACACATGCGAGCTCACGCGCACACACATGTACACGCATATGCACACCCATAACCCACACCCATCCACCACCCCGCACACCACCCCACCACCCCACACCGCCCACTGCCCACCACACACCACACAACCACCCCCGAAACCTACTTAACACTGCCAAATTCTCATCCCTGATCACCTACCTGCTAAATCAAAATGTTTTTTTGGTGATATGTTGTCCTTACAACAGCCAGATATTATTCCCAAGTGATGGGGGGGAAAAGCTCAGCGGTTGCTCAGACGTGCATCTCAGCCGTTTCCCCTCCAAAAAAGTTAGCTCGGTGGCTGCTCAGAGGGTGTCGAAAATGGTTAAAAGAAACTCCCTCCAGTCCTGGAATTTGGGATTAACTGCATGTCGACTATGAACTGCATGTTGACTATGAAGAGAATTCTGGCTGGAAAACTCCTTATGGCACTAGAGTGTGGCGTGCCATTTCGTATGTGTGTAACCCCTTCCAAAACAAGTAAGGTGTGATCCTCCGGATCACATAAAAAGGTCCCCAACCTGTCACTACCAGGCGTGCTACTGAAAACAGCACCCCCATAGTCAAATTCTGTAGCCAGGTGCTTCCGGGTATCCGCCAGATCTCCATTGGATTATTTCTTCCTTGGATTTGTGGTGTAAGGGGCTTGCGACGCTTTTGAGAGCCAATGCGCCTCATCTATAGATGTAGGGAGACTTCCCGCTGCCTCCGCAATTCTTGTCATTGCTTCCCATTGTTGGCTTGCAGGGAACATGTCACACCAAATTAGTGGCATTGCAGAATCATGGTTCAAATAAGTGTGTGTTGTGTGACCTGTATTTAAGTGGGGTTGTTTTATTGGGTTCTCTCTCTTATTTAATCTTCTGTACCACCTTTCCTTGAGGGTTGGCTCCGTTTCTGTTATCCCTGGCCTTGTGCCAGGGGTGCCCTGTCCCTGATGTAACGCTAATCTGGTGAAGCTGGTCCACACCTGCTGTGTCTGCCCCAAGGATTCTCTGTGTGCTGCAGCCAAGCCAGCACTCTGCAGCTACCCCAAGAACAGCTAAGCAGCAGCATGAAGAGCAAGCAGAGTAGCAGTCCACTCGCACCCCAAGCCCTCAGCTCGAGTGAACCTGTCCCTTGTCGGATGGCTTTTGCCGACTCCGGACGTAAAACCTTTCATGTAATGTGACCTGCTTCCAGAATAGTAAAAGTGTAATGACAGTGATTGAGCATGACAAACAGCCACGAGTCGATCAACCAGAAGATCCTGCTCGAGTCACCCCTGTGATAATTTGTGCGCAACCTTCTGCAGCATTTGCATGCGGCCTCTGGCCTGCTCAGACTCTTATCTTTTCCTCTCTTTCACCTTCTCCAGCGAAATTCACTGCTTTTTTTCAATTGTGTCAAAGCTTACGGCTTCATTATTGGTACGCAAGGACCAGCCACAAGTTAATCTCCTTGGCTCTGGTCACCCCTGATTGTGACCATCTGTAACCTGTCATGCTCAGATCATATTCTGTAAGATGTACTGACTTGGCAACACGAATCACTACTATACTAAATGAGCATGTCAAACCTCTGTAACATACACCTTAATGCCAATTTGTATGCCTCAGCAGGAATACAAGATGAGTGACATGCAATCTTTCCTTGCTCTTGCGAGTTCTTGTGCTGTCTTAGAAGAAAGTATGCACATCTTTTTGCTGGCTGTTTTGCACATAACGTTCGAAGTAGGATGGGGCGAAGCCCCTAGGTTTGCCGGCTTCCGGTAAAGTTCACACCTGGCTACCCTGGGCCAGCCAGTACACCCCCCACCCTGAAATTTTGGCTACCCTGTAACGATAGGCTATATATTTCCAGATCGTGAAGTATGGCGAGGCAAGGCGGTGGTTCCTCCTCTTCTTACAATTGGTACGTGAAGCCAGGGTGGTTTGGCGGCATTGTGCATGCACTGGGTAAGGATGCAGGATTCCTCTAAGGCCAGAGTCTGGCCGGGACGTCCAGAATTAGGCAGGGAGAAATGTAACAATAGGTTATATATCCCCAGATCGTCATGTGTGGCAAGGCGGAGGTTCCTCCTTTTCTTACCTCCCCCCCCCCCCCCCAAACCAAAGTTTTTGGCAGCCCTGCAGTGTCAGGGGGGTGTGGGAGGCAGTGGCTGGTGCTGTGCACATTTTTAAAGCATTTTACAGGCAACTCTTGACAAGAGCCAGCCAGCCTACCATCTGCTGTGAGACCCGGCATGCAGGTCTAGCTCCAGACGTTTTCGGGGATTTCAGGTTCTGGAGTCTTGCGGTACAGTGTGCAAAGTTTAAGAGACCACTTCTATGTTTGGTAGCTAAAGAAGGAACTGACCTGTCAGGGGCCCCACCCTGGAGCCCCTGAGCAACACCTGTTTGCACAAGATCACTCAGCACGCTTCCAAGTGTACGCTAGCCAAGTCCAAAGCCTGGGGGTTGCCCGAATGGAGAAGTCAAATTTGTTTGAACGTCTCTGCGGAGAACTCCACCTGGCAGCTCCTGCGCCAATGGATTTGCATAATTCCAATTGCGATGGGATTTCTAATTTTTGTTCAATCAATGGTGAATGTGCAGTACGAGTTGAAAGCTGAAGGCACGGAAATTTGCGATGGGGAGCAGAATCTGCAACCCTGCCCTGGTGTGTGGTCAAAAGAGCCTCTTGAGCGTAGCCTGCTGATGACGATGTTAGGGGAGCAAGTGAGCAAGGCACGGCAGGTGCAGCTTCCGGGTTTTTGGTAAAATCTGTAAATATTTCCGGGCCCCGCGCGGGCTGCCTTTCACTGGCCTCTGATCTGGGAGGAGCTGGCTGGGGTCACGGGCCTTGAATGTGGGTGGAGTGGCTGTGGCTGGCACTGAGCCCTCCCTGTTCCTTCCGCGTCCCCCTGCACTCCTCAATTGATATCGAGGATTCGTCCTAAGCGCTCTTTTCAGAGGAACAACTAATAGAGAATCAGGCCGGCTGGAAGTGAGCCTATCCTTATCAGGGAAGCGTGGGAAAACACATATAGGGAGGGTTCTATTAGTAGCATGTTTTGGGATCTGTTGGTCTTGCGACGCAAGTCGGTCTGCTGTACCAATGTCCATGGAGGCAATGCCTACCCCAAGAGGGCCTTTGCAGGTAGCTTTGGGGAGGATTCTGCTGGCAATAACATGTCGCTCAGACCATACCAGACATAGTTGAGTTTTTGCATCCTGATAAGACGTGAAGGGCGCTGTCAAATTCCCCACAGAGGGGGCATTGTAGGCCGGTGAAAATTTTGAAGCGCACCGCGTGTTCTTGATTGAAGAGGGTACCTGTTCGGTATTTAGAGATGTTTTGCCTTGTTTTGAAAGAAAGTGCGTTGACATGGTCCAGAATGCATTACTGATATTTTTGTGGATGTTGTGGAATAGGCTTTGGTTGAAGGAGCAGTAAAGAAAAGAAAAGAAAAGTCTGCGCAAGCCAAAGGCTGCGTGCATTAAGGGAAGAACCCCTAACAAAAGTTAGAGGCCTCACCAGAGGACGCTCTTCCTAAATTAGACAGAACTAGCCTAGGAAAGAGCAAGAGACAAAACTAATGGGGATCCGGAGGATTATTTGCCATGCCCCTGAGCGCTCGGATTCTCCTTCTTCCATCCTCAGCCGCCTCCACGCGCCCAGCAAACCCCCTCCCAGATGCCCCCTGAAAACAGAGTGCATGTCTAGTGATAATGATGGTGGATAATCTTTGGATGGCATGGTCCCTAAGCTGGGATGCGAGCGCTTTAGCTTTTTGCTTGGTCAGGCCCAGATTTATAAGAGGAGTACTTGTATAATCATTGTAGGAGCAGTATCCTGTGCTGGTGTTGGCCTTTCCAAGTCTGTTTTTTGAGTGTATGTGTTTCCATAGAGCATCATGAAGGTTGGAGAAGTAAGTTAGCTTTACGGCCGGTAGGTTAAGGCACCTAGAAGTTTTTGCATGAGAGGAAGCATCCTCATAGGCAAGCCAGGTGGTGTCATGAAAAGGATTGCCTCCAAGGTTTGCACAAGGGAAGGTTATGTCTGCAAGGGTGTCGTTATTCTGGATGGCCTGTTTGGCAATGGCATCTGCGCATTCGTTGCCAACAATTCCAGCATGAGATTTAACCTTGAAGAAATTAATAGGGGTAGGTGAGTTGCGTATAAGTAGTACGAGTCTTGAGGATGTGGCCTTGGACTTGCTGGTGATGATGTTCTGGGTAGAGTATTTGCTTTCTGATCCGTTCTAAAGAACAAAGGCTGTCAGTGGCAATGCAACAATAACCTAGGAGAATGGCAGCTACTATTGCCGCCAGTTCGGCTCTAATGATGGTATGAGTGATTCCTGCTCCGTTCGGCTTGACACGGTTGGTGCCGTCACTGGTGGGGTGGTAGACCCCTGCACCAATCACTTGTTTACATTGTGTACATGGCAGCTGCCGTCCATGTATACCCATTTTCTCCGTTTTCAACTTTGCGTACCAGATAAGGGCTGGATGACGTGAGTGGTGAAAGAATTTGTTGGCTTTGTGTGGTACTGTGAGAAGTTTGTTGGTGGGCAGAAGGTAGCTTTTTGAATTTGTTGAAGCCAGTTTCAATTTCTGGGTGTCTTGGATTGAGGACTGGGTCGATGCTAATGTTTCTTTCCAGCCATCTTGCCTCACAGATGTCTTCTTAGAGGCCTGTGAGCCAATTTGAATTGTTGACGACTCCCCACCACTTTCAGGCTCAGGTGCTTACAAACCGGGAAGAGACACAGCCCCACCCTCCCAACACTTGCAACTGCACATAAAACCCAAGGGCCATGGGCCCACCAATACCATCACCAGGGCAGGATTCGTGGGTA